TATGAACTCACATATTTAATAAATATTATTTATGTAGTTTTATTTACTTGAATTATTGGTTTCCTCGTACACAGCATAGGTTGTGGTTTTTATCATCAAGAGAGATTGACTGTAATGTGTTTGATTAACAATTAAAAATGAAGCATTTCATAATTATACAAGTACAATTAAGCAAAATAATACCTAATTAATTATTAAATATATTATCTTATTAAAATTGACTGCCTCGGTGGTGTAGTTGCTAGCATGTACGGCTGCACACCCGGAGGTCCTGGGTTCGAGTCCCGGGTCGGGCCAAGTTTAGTTATTGAGTCTTTCTGTATAGTAAGTCTCAGTAACAGCCCGGAGTTGGGAATTTGGCGGTGTTTCACCCCCGTGCCTCGGAGAGCACGTAAAGCCGTCGGTCCTGCGCCTTAACTCTCACTGGTCGTGTCGAGCGGTCGTCCCACCGGACGTATGAGAGTGACAGAAATAGAGAGTGTACTTGTGTCTGCGCATACACGCGCTGCATTATATAATATCTCCTGCGCAGTTGGCTAATCTCAATGAGATTGGCCGCCGTAGCCGGAATCGGTCAGGAGAATATTATCATTAAGGTTAAATACCTACATTGATATTACTATATTTATATTTTTAGTGAATACTTGATTCCCCGAAACGTGACATCTGGACTATAGGGATATAGTATGTACTTACAATATCTATCGCATTGGAAAAGACTAAATAGTATAACAGATTTGGCAGAATTATTCCTAACATCTTATTTTAAATATTATACTGTAATATTCTTCACCAACTTGGCTTACGTGATTTTTTAAATTCCTAGTAAAATGTTAATAAAGTAAGACAAAACTTGTTTAGTATAATAATTGTCGCTAAACTAACTTAGATAGCTTTGATAACTATGTACCTACTTATGTCCATACACTTTTTTTATTATTAAACAGGTTTCATTTCATTCCCAGTACATATTCGCAAATTTTACGCCCACACTAAAATTGAAAGAATAAAAACTTAAAAACTTAAAAAAATACACGAAAGAAATAACGAAGTAAATTATAAATGAACGATATTTTCCATTTAGGTATATATTATAATCGATCGCAAAGCAAACAAAAATTAATAAACACAAAAATTTATTTAAATATGAATATGAATACAAGGAATTATTATTAAAATATGTAATTATAGTCGAAATATTATATGCTTTAAGCATCAGTATCTATCTATGAGACCAAAATAATATGCACATATCTGCTAAACATTTAATATTTACAATACAATGTACCTACATACCATTTCGAAATCAATTACAGATCTTCGAGTCCTTCTTATAAAACGTAGAATCGAATCAATACGATTACCTGCACTACGTGGCTACAAGGGGCTCTCCCCCTTTAAAAGAACTCATTACTAAGTGGTTTACTCTCGGTAAGGTACTACTTGTGAATCACTAACATTTTCCTTTAGATCAAACTTTCAATGCTGAGGTAAGTTGCAGGTTAAATAGAAACGCCCGTAACATACTGTTTGTTAATTATGTGTGCGTAAAATTCTTACTAATGTAAGGTGGCATTTTTATATATTGAGTGTTTTAGTAGAAAATAATATATTTGATTAATTTGTAATGATTTATGTATAAGGCATTTACTTATGTGACCTTGGCCGATAGGAATGTGTTTTAATAATAAAATAAAAAAGGGCGCGGATATTCATTTGTTTTCTCGCGCTTTTACACAGAGATGTCGGCACCACCCTGGAGGTCATTACGAATTATTTGTAATACTGAAAATTATGATTATAAATTATGTAACTGACTGATGATTATAAAAGTACTGAATATAGGAATATAAGCAAGGAATATCACCAAGTTTTATTAGGGGCATAAAACTAGTAAAACATTTCTGTCAATATGTTTCATCTAAAAATACCGCCATTTTTAGGTCATCATATTTTATTTATGAAGTCGATTTAAAACACTCGTCAATTTTAATATATTCATCGATGTATATTAGAAATTATGAATAGCCATCACATATTGTACATAGGTAGGTATATAAATACTAGACAGACTTTGCTTCTAACTGTTCCTATTCACATGCTGTATGCAAGTGGAAGTTGAAAATTTCAAAGTTGGAGTAAGTTTGAGTTTATTTTGTTTCAGACTTCGCCTTTGCTCCATTCTCATACAATCTGCTACATTTCGAGGCACGTACTGGTACGTGTCCGCCCATCGCTTCCCGTTTTGCCCCATTTTACCCATTTCCGTGAAGTGAAGTGCAATTAGGAACTTATCAGCAAAGATACTCTGAACTCGTTTTCTAAACTGGAATGCCGGCTAGCTAACCGGACAGTTGCTCGCTACGACCCTCTCTTAACTACATAATTTTTCTACATCCTGTTACAGATTTTACCATGTCCAAGACCCATCGATGGGCTTACTAATAAGGATACGATAGTAATAACTAAAAATTTAAAAGAATTACAAAAATAAAAATAATCATTCCAATATATTATTGTTAAAAATATTATTTCAAAAAAACTGTAGTAAGTATTGAATTTAAAAAGTATACTGATGTACATGAAAAAACTAAAAAAGTACTTAAGTACTAAAATACAAAAGAAGAATAATTCAATTCAATTTTCTTGTTAATGGCTTCAAAACGAAGGTGAGCACAGATTACTTCTCCAATGTCACGTAGAAAGAAGAATACACAAAGGAGATTTGTCCGTAAAAGCAAAATAATAATTATCTAAAAACAAAACACAAATATACCCTACAATCTCATATTGTTTTATAGGACGTTTACAAATATCACTCAGATATGACTTATATAATATATAAATAACCAGAGAATACGAATATTATTGCCAAATAAATAGAAAATAGATGTAACAATTAAACCACATTATTTTTATACAAACAAGATTATTTAAAGAGATTAATGTGAGGTATTTACACGAAACATTACTTAGATGGTATCCCGTTGCTCTAATGTGTGTGCTCTCTACAGGTGGTTTTATATTAAAACATCCTTAAATATGGCACGTAACGTAAACTTAGTTTATAATAATTAAAATATAGTAGGCCAAGTATTCACAGGTTAGTAAATAAAATCCTGTAAAAATTATGGGACGGATTGTTGTTACTTAGGAAAAAAACTAAATATGGGTGTAAATACGAGTACAACTTTTTTTTTAATATTTCAATGGCTTTTTACCGCATACTATTTAAATATAAATTTGTGAGTTAGAAATCGTATAAATAAAATTATTTTATAATTTTTTTTTAGCATTTGATATACAGTGTGATCAAAGGGATCAGTTACAGACAGCCTTTAAGTGCCTGCCATTAATTGACACCTGTCAGTAGATAACTTTAAATTACTTTTGAAAGCTAAAAGGCATATTTAAATTACCATTTTAATCAATATTCGTAATAATAAACAACAATAACTTCAGATCATATCTATTTGTAGACGTTATCTTAGTTATTGTCTCAAGCGAATAATGTTTTCGCGTTTTAATAAAAAATCATATTTTAAATATAAGTTGTATTAAGAATTTCTATAAAATGCTTAATCTTAACAGTCATTTCTCCTAATCCTTACTTAAGAAGCACGTATAAATGTAAAGATAATATTTTTTTTAATTTTATATTTAACTTACTTACACTATTTTTTATACTAAGAATGAGATACATTAATTTATTTACAATTTTTAAAAAGTATTAATTTACTATAATTATATTAGGTAAGCCTTTAAAAAGCCACAACTATAAAAATATAATTATCTAAATTTACGAGTATATAATTTATATTAATAATATTAGTTTTAGGTCTCAGGTTTCGATTTTAAAAAATAGGCATTGTTTTGATAGTACTAGAGATTATCACTTAAACAAAAAAAAAAATATCTCGACAATAATGTACCTAAGCTTTATTAATATCGTGCAAAACATATTTTTAATAGCAACTTAAGTATTACATTAATCTTAATGTACAAATAAGTACTACAGTTAAATGAGCTCAAGCTCGTGAAAAAAGTACAGGGCAATTTCGGGTATATTAAAAATCATAAAAAAGACTTAATAACTGTTTAGTATTTAATAAATTGACGCCACAATTGTATAATTGGTCTTAGAAGTATTTTACACATTCAGTTTCCATTAATTTACAATCTGTTGATAAACAAATGTTACTTTAAAAATGATCTATTTTGGAGGATTTTTTGAATTAATTTGCACTAGGAAATAGACTGGAACGCATAGAAAAAATGGAATTGTTTAAAAATCATTTTGTAGTTTATCCAACAGTGTCTGTCGATGTCTTCTTCCTCAGAGAATAGAGAAACAGATTCAAAAAATCAAATTAAAATATTATTGAAAAATAAGCGTAAGACTATGGTATTTTTGGTGATTAAAGGTTAACAATATTCTAAGTCAATGAAAAAAAAAGCATGCATTTGTATCACATTCTTTAATACTTGCAAAGTCACTTTTCCAAACATAAAATACAGAAATAATCATATACCTAATGTAGATTTTCAATTTGCAGTTATATCACATATATTTTTCCGATTAGACAAATAGAATCTATAGTAAATAAGACATCAGTGCTAATACAGTGATGTCGAGCTTGATAGGTATTATAATATGAGAAATATGATTTCCAATCCAAAGTTATGTTATCTTTCAATAGTTCAATACAACCACAGATCATATAATACTAGTAATACAACTTACCTTTTCGATGGTGAAGTTTATACGAAGCCCACCACGTTATGAGTCATACTTGCACTTGTCCGGGCTTTTTCTTAACAATAATATTTTACGCCGTCCTTTTCACTACATTTTATAAATTAAGTGGTTATGTAAAATATTTATTTTAATCTATATAAAAAAAAACTTGTATTTTCAAGAGACATTGTAAACTTATAATTCTCAAATAAGACCTAAAGCTGTGCTACAGGGAGTGCAATTAGTAACCTCGTATTTTTTAACTTAAAATGTTGCTTAACCAATTCGTTGACACGATCACCAGCATGATTTGTAGACGAGTAATTCTTGATATCGTGATGTTACCTGTATGAAACACATATTTATTATACTACTGTATTTACTTATATGCACAATATGATTTACACGATTGTTGGGCACAGTCCTACACAAAAGACGAATAACGAAGGAGTTATGGATCCACTGGCCACTGCATTTTGCTAAATCAAATTAATTTTATGTCTTCGCTCAAGCACTCAAGAGGTACATAATAGATAAACTCAAAATTCCTTTTTTTCTGCTAAATCCTAATAGTATTTATAGTAAAAAATGTAAAATAAATGAATAAATGGTTAGTATTCCTGCTTTTACTTGACTCCAGGTATTTATGATATGGTATATACTTATTCCTATGGTATATAATAAAATTGCTTATATATATATATATATATATATATATATATATATATATATAAATATATAATATATATATATATTATTCTTATCCTCCTTTCTTCCTTATATCCTTTTATAATATATAGATATATATTATAAAAGGCAATTTAAGTGATTGACTGATGTATCAACGCACAGGTCAAACCCTTAAAGCTAGAAAATTCAAATTTCGCACACGTACTCCTTATATGACGAAGGTATCCACTGAGGAAGGATTTTTCAAAATTCAACCCCCAAGGGGATGAAATAGGGGATAAAAGTTTGTATGAAACTTTTTATTCCTTGGACATATGCATGAAATTTCGTATGAATTGAGAACGGCAAAAAAAATGATGCTGAAAACAGCATTTTCTAAAATGCAACCCCTAAGAGGGTAAAAGAGGAGATGAAAGTTTTTATGAAACCCACTTTTTAGAGTTTTTTTTGTAGTTTTAGCGCGAGCGAAGTCGCAGGTTCTGCTAGTATTAATATATACCTCTAAAAGTTACAATATTCAGTTTATAGCATTTTTAATAAAATAAATTATTGTTGCTTTAACTATGTTGTCTTCAAAATATATTTTCAATAAGCCGCCATTCCTTGTCCCATTATTTATCTGCACAAAGCTATTATAATAATTCGTCAATGTTCTAAATGCTCGTACTGAGCGATAAATCATTTCTTCAAGTTTATTATTTATGATTCCCTAATGACTTAGGTTAAGTACAAACAACGATAATAGAATAATAGAAGACATGATGAAAATCAATCAGTATTTGAATTAAAAGGTTAAGTACCTACATATTTGATGTCCTAGTGACTAATGATCGGGCTACCGAAGAGTAAGTAGTTAGTTGGGTTAGTAGTATTTTATTAGCTTACAGAAATAAATACTTGTGTTTAAAAATAAGTAATGTTTCATAGGTTAAGGTTATTTTATGAGCACCAGATGGGGGTTGTAACTCTAATTATTAGTAACTAGCGACTAACCCTCGCTTCGCTCGGATTCGTCCCTAGCTTGATTCCCAATACACACTTTCATGCCCATTTTCACCCCCTTATGGAATTCCGGGATAAAAGTAGCCTATGTCCTTCCCAGGGTCTCAAACTATCTTCTTACCAAATTTCATCCAAATCGATTCTGTAGATACAGAGATTACCCCCTTACAACGTGACAACCTCACAAACTTTACCTCTTTATAATATTAGTATAGATTAGATAAAAATAAAAATTAGTATTACTTTTCATTTAATCACACGTAACAATAGCAAATATGTATTAACATCTGCGCTTGTGTTTATTTATCAGTTTGAATTAGGAACTACTAGCGACTCATCTTCGCTTCAATTCGGGTTCGTTCCTAGACAAAAACAAATCTATCCCACTGGAACCGTACATTTTTTAGAGATAAAAAGTAGCCTATGTGTTATTCCAGACTACAATCTATCTCTGTGCAATCTGTGTGTGTAAATTTCATCCAGATCCGTTCAGCCGTTCTGGCGTGAAAGAGTAACATCCATCCATCCATCCATCCTTACAAACTTTCACATTATAATATTAGTCGATATGGATGTAATAAATAAATTAGAGTAGTATTATAGATCTTAAGTAGATCTAACTGAATTGATTACAACTAAACTTTAGTGTATAAAAAAACTTTAGGAAATAAGCTGTTCAATAAAAATATCTATTAATCATTAAGTATGTCTTTCTTTATAGCATCCCAAATTTTCATTATAGAACTATTAGAAATGCTATTTCTTTCATCATAGTAATTTTCGTAAACCCGATTTTGGTTGCGAAGGCCAATATCACTGACAATGAGACTAGCCAACTGCGCAGTTTAAGTAATTTACAAGTGAGTGTGCAAACACAGCTATTCACCAACCTATACGCTAGCCACTAGATCATTAAAGCGGCAAAATTTAAAAAAGAAATAGGTAGCACGCTCGCTTGAGAGCAAGAGAAGTAAAGCGGGCTTGGACCCCGGAGGAGGAGGAAGGAGTTTTGCACCTCCGAAAACCTAAGATGCAAATCATTTTCAACACGATGACCATTCATGCCTTATGGTAAAGGAAAGCATCTGCACAACTAAGAGATTGTAGCAAATTTTCAAAAGGTTAGTGAAGTCCATCAACCTGCACTTGGCTAACGTGGTTTGTGGTGGATTCTTGGACTTTGGCGTGATCATATTCAAGCGCACTGGGCCCGCTCCCAACAACGGGATGTTAAAAATGGCTGATCGTACTTTATTTATTTGGGACAAATTATAACCAACAAATTAATTTAGATTATTTATATTTCTTAGTTTATGCAGTCAGGTTGAAAATACAAAATAACAATCTTCTATCACTTTGTAATAATAAAATTAAAGTACATGAAATTGTTTAAAAACTATTCATCTTTCCGATAAACTTGTTTGCATGAAGCCATCAAACTATGCATACTAAATGCTAAAGAACTCCGAAACTATCGTTAGCGCAAACCCAACTACATAAAATTTTTATCTCATTCCTTTTAAAGATACCGTTAATTTACAGGAATTTTGTAGTTTAATGACAAATAGCCTCAACCTTATATATTATCTGATATCTTGTATGATCTGAAATCAGAATGATTACAAACATATATGTATGTATGTATACCTATAGGTACAATAGAGAGTGACGAAATAAAAAAGTGTACCTATACTTTTATTTGATATTATCGAAACCTCGTTATAGTAGTTGTGCAAATACCAATCGAGTTATTTTATTATTTAGCTAAATACTAATTCGAGATATGGCTAATTAACGTTTCAATTGAGCCAAATTAAAAGTTCAAAGATACATTTAATTTGGCGTCCTTAAGAATCTACATCAGCTAATTAATTCACTTAAGTTTCTTTTTAAACACTAAAACATCAATACAATATGACTAAAGAAATTAAAAAGAATACGTTCTATAGAAAATTGAAAGATTATCACCATAATGTATCTAATCTATTTGCTTTTAAATGAGTAAATCTGTACAAAACAAGCAAATGTATCATACCATTAGCGTGGCGTTCTTGCGGCTTCTGGACTTCGTAAGCTGCAATGTATGCAGTTGGCATCAACCCTGTTACAAATATATAATTGTTAACATAATGTACCAGATATTTTACACATTTAATGAAACATTTAATATTTATGTATGTTTTTCTAGTAATAAAATATTTTTATTATTATTTTCGAAAATATTTTTTGGGCAAAGTTGTTATAAAAGGCATGTCGTCTCGCATTCGTGATTTAAATCAGGCGACGCTCAGTACAAATCTTAAAATGTATATAAATAGTATATATACTTTGATTAAAAATCTTACTATAATAAGCCACTGTTCCTTATAAAGAAATCCAAACTTTAAGAATAAGTACCTAGCTACTTTTTCAATCAATAAATTCATCGTTAAAAGAATTAAAAGAATTGAACCTCTCGTTCGTAGTATAACACATACCTGGATAGTACACTGTTGTTTTGTTCACGGTATAATTAGCTGGGAATAAGTTTAAAGTACACACATATTCTTCATAGGGTTCTCTGACGTCGTCATCATGGACTACTGCCTTAGTTGTTACTGAGTATAGTCCCCATGAGTCCATTTTCATTTCAGATACGGCTTGGGTTAGAGGTTTCCTTAAATATTAACCATTCAACTTTGCTTAAGAAAATTTAAGGTCAAAATTGTATAGTCCTTGAATAATTTTATTATTAGCAACTCATTTTTAAACATACATTTTTTTCTATATTATGATTAATATACTTTAATAATTTTTTCTAGTAATAAAATGGATAAAGGACAAATTTATTTGGAATCTTAGACTATATGATTTGAACTTTAAAAATGAACGAGACCAATTTGTTAGCGAAAAATGAATAATTAGAAATTTTGTGCAACACGGTGTTAAATATGAATATAGCAGTTTACATACCCTTGCGCTGATATAATTATTTCTGGTTTAGGATACACGTCTTCAGCCACACATATCAACGTTACTAAGAATACGTATTTTTTTTCTTGCATAAAATGAAAATTTTTACCAGGACCTAAAATGTGTAAATTTGTTAAAGCTAAGTTCATTGAGCTTAGTTTATACTAAGCATTCGTATCCAAGTTAAAAATGTATATCTGAAATATGCTGAAAGCTACTTGGAAGTAGCTCTGAGTCGCTTTCAACAAGAGTCTATAATAAAGGTACAATTGACTACAATTCACTGCAACCATTTTGTTTTATCTACATTTACCGATATAATATATTCATCCTAGACTTTCTTGTTCGCTTTCTACACGTTTTCTAAGAAAATTAAATATATTCTAGTCGTTTCACCATTGATTTTTGGTTATAACATTTTTACGAGAAGTAAGACTACTAGCGGTGCCCGCGGCTTCGCTCGTGTGGTTCTTATTAAAACTTATACAAACTTACTATGGCCTTTAGACCCCTTAACCCGCCCCTTAAATCTGTTCTGTCGTAAAATCCGTTCTTAGCTTTACGTTTTACAGCTAAAAACAAATTTTAACTTCCAACGTCAAGTAACTTTCAAGATTTCGTGTTCAGTCAGTGATTGAATAAGTGACTCGAACTAATAACTATGTTATTGATTATAAAAAAAGATGAGGATATGAGGTATTAAAAATATTTTAATATTAAAATCAAAAAAGCTATTCTAATACATTAATATTATGGTTATTTTGTAAATATGTATAATGTATATTCATTTTACTTGTATAAATTTCATTTTCAGTATAACGTATAGCTAGGTAAAAATCTTACTATACACAATCATGGGTCGCGTCTGCCGATCTTCCTGCATGAACGTAGATACCACGCAAGTGTAATTCCCACTAAGGTCGGTAGTAGGTTTCAGTATTTTGATTGCCCGGTACGCTTGTAATGGCTCCTCTGAAAAATATTGTGTGTATTTCCTTTTATGTATTTTATTATAGGTAGTTGCCAATATGTATTCTAAGTTTTTTCCACTATAACATTTTATTCGCGTAATTTGACCTCGAGAGTAATTGATGTAACTATATTAATTGTTCCCTATTATTTATATGAACATATTTATTTATATGTATAAAGAAGTCTATGAAAATTATGAATACAATAAAAACTTTTAGTACGTGGTTTTGCGTAAACCCTGTAAGATATTACCTTAAGACCTCACTTTAACTGCCCCGGTGGTGCAGTGGCAAGCATGTACGGCTGCACACCCAGAGGTCCTGGGTTCGAGTTTAGTTATTGAGTCTTTCTGTAGTGTAGTAAGACTCAGTAACAGTCCGGAGTTGGGAAGTTGGCGATGTTTCTCCCCGTGCCTCGGAGAGCACGTAAAGCCGTCGGTTCTACGCCTTAACTCTCACCGGTCGTGTCGAGTATTCGTCCGACTGGAGTATGAGAGTGACAGGAATAGAGAGTGCACTTGTGTCTGCGCGTACACTTGAGCACTATAATATCTCCTGCGCAGTTGGCTAGTCTCAATGAGATTGGCCGCCGTGGCCGGAATCGGTTAGGAGAACATCATCATCATCACACCTCACTAACAAGAAGCCTAAATTTTCAAGTGCAAAGTGAGTACTTTTATTGTATGGAATTCTAGCTATTACGATACTTAAGTACTTCTTATTTTTAAGTCTGGCTATAAGAGATCTCCCTCAACGTGCGTGCACCTTGTCGTAGTGGGGAGGGAAGGCTCATTAGGGACTGGCAATCCAGCCGGGCGCGAAGTCAAGAAAGGTACTGGGAGGCGGCCCACCTCGAGGGGCAGTATGCCATGCGGGTTGTTCCTGGTATTTCTCTGATAACAAAGTGGACCGTTGGAGCAACCCCCATGGCTGTTGTGGTCTGCTTTAGCAGATCTGCCGTCGGGGCGTCGTGGTTGAGTGCGTAAGTGATCCTGCGAGGCCCCATAACGACGGGAGAGATTTTAGTGGGTTTTAATGGGCAGTACTGGTTTTTCTAGTCGGTGAATCCCACATATTCACCTGTATGTATACAGGTGGTGTGCGTAAATGCATTTCCCAATATTAAAAAAAGGCTGTGAGAGATAGGCAAAAATTCTTAAAGGCTATTTAACGCCCTACACAATCAACCAAACAATAGGATTCAATAAGTATGATACGGTAATCAACAATAATTATAAAATGAAATAAATCATCTTGCTAGGTTCTCTTGGACATGCAGGTTTTCTCACGATGTTTTCCTTCACCGAACTTAATGTACTTATTAAAAATCTAAACTCAAATGAGTGATTTTTAATAAGGAAATAATAAAATAGGTATTTTTTTAAGTAAACGGTTTTATTGAAAATAATAATAATAATAATAATGTAGATAATGCAATAAAAGCTAAAAAACATCACATTTCTCTGCTCATCGATTTAGGACATCGATTAGACTCAAAAATAAAATCGCGGGGCGTAGCGTAACCTAAGTAAATAAGTATAGATAATACCGTTTAACTTAAAAAAATACCTATTTTATGTTCAAGTTTTAGTTTATTTTTTATTTTTAAATAGTCTAAACTGTATGATCCGCCATGCACTGTGTTCAACTTGTAAAGCCCTTTTATTTGATACCCGCGTTGAGATTGAGGGGGTTGTGAAAAAATATGTAATAGGCCATTTTGTTGGCGGCCATATTGAATTTAATTTTTTTCCACAATGTACTATATTCTACTAGTCAAGACCTACATTTCTTATCCATATTAAAGGAGCTGTGAAAAAACAGTTAATCCGCCATTTTGTGCCAGGGACCATCTTGGATTTAAAATGATACTGAATGAATTGAATTGTATTGTCATCAAAAATAAATATGTGTACCAAATATCAGATCAATTTGTCAATAGGAAAGGGGTAAAATTTCAATTACTAAATTTGACCCAAGCAAACAGGGCAAGCTAAATAAATCAGTTTAAAAAAAGGTAATACCTGATATTCTAAAATCCAAATCAACTTTTCCCTTAAGCAGTCCTATGACTTGAGGCCTTAGAGGAGGTATCCACTGGTAAATTAAGCCTGACGATCCATTAAAAAACCATTTCATCACGAGGCCGGGTGGGGTCACGGTATCAACACTATATTGACAATCTAGAATTACTGACTCCGTACCAATTTCCACTAAAGGAGGAACTTCTATTCGTTGAATATTTACAGCAACACATTCTGCGAAAGTTTACTGTTATTACACAACTGAAGAGCGTCTGGCACTGGTATTTACGATTTTTTAAGAAAAGCTTTAAAAGTTTTTTAAGTAAGTTTACGCGCTACTACGATTATTACACAAATAATTCAAATGTTACTTTTATTTAAAATAATTTAAGAAATTTAAAGTTTAACTTGAATTTTAGTTCGCTAATAATAATAACCAACTTATATAAATAACTATGACCATATATAAAATCAAATGAAAACGAATACATAAATAAGTCTAAATAAAATCGTTATTCTTCATCAGAAGTAGGATAACAATAATGTATATATACGATAATAAAATTGAACAACTTCTACCTCTCCGTTTGTTTATGAGTAGTGCATAATCAAAAGAGGGCCCGTAGATATATAAGATTATGATAAATATATTGTTTTGCTAAGACATATCTGAGCAGACATCATGAATTATGCATTAAAGCTATACAAAACATTTTGAAGTTACGGGCTTTTACGTAAATTGGTACGTACAACTTGGTACTTATTGCCGCAAAGGATACATTCTGAAATTAGCTACGCCAGAAACAGGAACTGCCTCAGACTATTTTAGTGTTAACTGTTTATTTGTTCATTGATAAACTTATATTATTAAAACTACGTATTAAAAGCATCTAATATTCATCTTTCTTTATCAAACCTTTTCCCATTTTATTTGGAGTTGGCTATGAGCATCATTCAAAATTATAATAAGATTTACTATTTAAAGCGTATGTTATTTTATTATATACTTTAGTATATCTCTAGAACTTTTCATGAAATTAAAATATGTATAAATTTATTATTACAACCGATTTTATACTTTTTTTATAGAGAAAATGAGCAAACGAGTAAACGATCCACCTTGATGGTTAGTGGCTATCGCCGCTTTTGGACATCTGCAACACAAGATGAGCTGCGAATACGTTGCCGGCCTTTAAGAGACCTATAGACACTACTCTTGAAGAGCCCTATGTTATAGCGCTCAGGGAAAACCTCTTCTAAGCGACATATTTCAGTCTAATTTATTTATTTTTCTTTCCTTACTCGATAATTAATTAATTGATATAATAGTACCTATATTTGTTTCATTTACCTTTTTTAAAAAGTTACCAACAATTAAAAAAATAATAATAATATGGCAATACATTTCATAATTTGTGTATATATTAAAAAAATATATAAGATAGTATTTAACTTTGCACATCAACAAAATAAGCGGCAATAATCACAATAATTCGAGTTGACAGGAAAATAAGGAAAAGTAGACACGCGGTAAAACTTTCCACACGCAACGTACACTAAGAAACTGCACAATTATAATACAAATAAATACACACGTGTATAAAATATGAAGAGAACGATCAAAGAATACATGTTGCTACATAACTCAGAATATCGAAAATATTTTTTCCAACTGTGATAAGTACTAGTTGGATTGGAAGATTCGTACTGACTGAAGTTTATTTAGCTTTTCACTTGTTCCTACGCATGCGTATTTGCCTGTTGATTTACTAGCCAAGTTTCATCTTGGAGTAAATAACAGAGATTGTCAGGTTGATTTGCTTGACCCATTCCGATATTCCTCAGTTTATATTGTATACTAGTGACTCACGCTTGCTCCGCTCGGGTTCGTCCGTACTTACGTTTTAACGTTTAGTATAGATTTCTCAGAGATGATATATTTTCCCGCAATAAAAAGTATCCTATATGTTGACCCGAATAACTAGTTATCATCATACCAAATTTCATCAAAATCCTTCCAGTGGGTTTTCCGTAATGCAGTAACAGACAGACGGACAAAAATTCTAAAAACTATAGATTCGGCCTCTATATCGATAATAATGACTATTTCAATAATATTTTCCAAAAAATATTTAATGTACAGATTCGGCATAGTTTAGATTATTTAAGAAAAACGATATGTTATTTTATGGTCAGGTATAATATAAAATGTATTTTTCTAAAGTAGAAGATTCTTCGGATATGGCTTGAATTGTCTAGCTAGTTTAAATTCTGTTCTATTAGAGCAGGTGGATGGAAGATGTCATTATTAATTAAATAATAAATCAGAAAATGTTAAGTGCCTAATCTTAGTATCAGATTTATCTGCTACTAATTGGAGGTGTGAGTTGAAAGCTGGTAGGTATATTAACCTCCATGAGGACAGTAGAATATAATAAAATCATAAAGCTGATTTGACGATGTGGCCAGAAGTTACTTTTCAATGGTTAAAGAAATTATACAAACAAGTTACAAAGTGAATTAGAAATCGAATAGAAAGAGAGAGACTAGAGAAAAGTTAAATAATAACTCGTAACAATTGTTTTGTTTTATGGTTAAAAATAATTTACGATAATATAACTTAACAATTCTAATACAGAGTAATCTTCACGCACTCAGTTTTATTATTATAATATAGAACAAAAATAAAACAGATCATTTATTGTAATATTGATGAAAATTTTACAGTCATCATTACATATCTTTGTTGCTTTTTTAAATTCCATAATTCCAAAATACAAAAATAAAGTCTTATTTCTTTCATAAGAACTTTTTGAATTTTAAAAGGACTTTCGTAATATAAGAATTTATATTACTTTACAACAATTTTAAAGTGGAAGTGTAGTATTTTCACTTATCAGCTATTTATTGACTATAAAATCGTGCTTGGACAAATGCCGCTTGCTTTGCGGCTCTAATTCAATTCCAATATACGAGTAGAGCGACGGGCAGCAAGCTTCTCTGTCGCATACTGAAGAGTTTACTTTTTAATACTAAGCTGCAATACAAATGGATTATGTACGTAGGCACTTATAAGCCACCTCAGAATATATAATATTTATTCGCTTTTTTACAAAAGAATTTTGATAATAATAGCAATAGAAAAAATATTATTAATCCTATTAAAAATATTATCTTTAAAAATTCTACAAAATATCACAATTTTAATTAAATATATATTTAACTAGCATTGCCCGCGGCTCCGCCCGCGTTCAGATGACCAAAAACTAAATTCTTAGGTGTTACATATTAGTATACTCTTACATTGCAGTTTTTGTATTTTTCCTCAGAAATAAGATACTAGCTTCTTAAGGACTAAAACTTAAAAAAACATTAAAAAGTAAAAAATATCTGATTGGTTTTCATTTATTATAGATACCTAAACAGATATTTTCGTTAAATCAGGGTACTTTGATTTGTCTGGCGTTCCATTTTTAATGTTGACATAGTACTCGTAGTAGAAGAAAAAATTTAAAAATAATCAGTAGGTGGAAAATCAATCATCCCCTATTTTCTACACTTAGGGTTTTTTTCAAATTTTTCAAAGCTTTACGTAGCTTTCCAAGCATGTAATTTACTCGTATTTACTACTGCCTTATTTATTTATATTGTATTGTATTATATTATATTACTCAGTGTGATATTCATCGACAAGCACCTTTTTAAGGGTGTAGGTATTGAATATATGTGTATTGAAACGTATATAATTTAATAATAATAGCCAATAAGTCTACAGATATTATGTATCCCATCTTGATATACCATACCATTATTTATATCATCAATCCTCCTTCTATTTTTAAAACATACATGAATAATTTGTCATTAATGTGGCCTAAAAACCATATTTAAAACCAAAACGTTACAAAATACTAAACCCGCGGCCTGTTCTCGACCAATAGAAGTATACCTACTGGCACAGCCAAATTTCAATTCAGTATCGAATGTTGGCTGTTAGTTTCGCGGCCGACAGAGGATACAGTCGTAGGACATATTATAATCAAGAGTGTCCTAGACCAGTTGCTCGCGATCACGTTATGTTTCTGAATCTGATCGGAATTGAATTGTTATAAATACGAAATTTCTTAGAGGTATATGTTTGTAACTCTTTCACGCTGAAACGGCTGGACGGATTTAGATGAAAAATACACAAATACACTATGATGACCTTTATTTTAATGTTGAGAAATATATATATGCATACCACCTGTGTACAACAACCTAACATACATATGGTTATATGGGACTCACCGGCTAGAAAAGCCAGTACTACTCATTAAAGCCCAACAGAACCTACCCCGTCTTAGTGGCGCGTCGCAGGATCGCTTACGCACTAAATCACGACGCCCCGACGGCAGGCCTATTGAAGCAGACCACATCAACTATTAGGTTGTTTCCACGGTCCACTCAGCTATCAAAGAAGTACCAAGAGCAACCCGCATAGCACACCGCCTACCGAGGTGGGCCGCTACCCAGTGCGTTTCTTGGCTTGTGATCCCCCCTCTCCCATACACACATCACGACAAGGTGAACACACGTTGGAAGGGAAATGATCGAGACTCTGGAGCAATATATAGTACTTCCTCTGTTCGACATTTAGACACGATAAGTCGCTAGTATAACATAATGTAAACCGTTGGTCACCGTCGAGGTCACGTAGTACACGGGAGGGGTACACATTTATTTCGTACAAAATACATTTAAAAAGCTTAGAAAAAAACCGCTTCAAAGCTTTAAACGGATCTGCATGGTTAACATAGATTTTGTGAGTGGATTTTACGTTAACAGTATTTTGTAGTTATAGCTACAGTTTGGTAATATTTTGTACCTTTTGATCATGTTTTTTGAAATGTAACTCGTGTATAAAGATAAGAGTAAAGACATACCAAAATCAGCCTTTTGTAAATTGGTTATTTAAATTATGTCACGCTGTATGAAAATTATAGTATGAAAATATGCCGTGCCACACGCAGAACCAATATCACGATATTTTACGATTTCGAATTTTCAAATTAATATAAATATTTATATCATCTCACATATTGTGTGCTCGTAGTATTGAATTTTATAAATTTTATGAGCAACTTTATTAATTCAGTCCACCAAAGAGTGAAAATAAATAAATATATATATCATTTTAACCAGGTACCTAAGTAATATATTAAATTTTTAATGTAAGCATAAATAGTTTATATTATAAATAATCTTACTTTATTTATCTTAATAAATACGACATATTAAAAAAGAAAGCAAATTAAACGATACATAATAATTCTTAGTATTATATTTTCCACTAAGTAAATGATTGGGATTTTTATTATTCATATAGAATCGCCCACGCAGTGTAGTGATACCACTCGTCCCTATACATTTTGCATGAATTATGAAAATGATTGCTACTCAAAGGAAACTTATACTTCCCCTATGTAATTACCTTCTAACAATAGTCGACTAGTTTCAGGTTCACCTTAACTTGCTCATTTATATTCAATGAAGACAAATAGTGTGAATGTACGGCACATATAAATGTAACATAGGTACATATACCGTATTATTCTATAAAATAATTGTATAAATAAATGTAAATTTAACACCAAAAATAAGTAAATATTTCTGATAATTTGATAAGTGACTTTCAATTAGAGCTTGTAGATAACAACAACCACTATCACAAATATGCAATTAGCGCTTTCAATATATTAGTTAGATAAATAATAAAAATTAAAATTAAAGCACTTTCAGGTTGACTTATTTTTCAAATAACTGTTTATTCGCAAAACTGTAATTTAAAAGAATTCAATTCACAAATCTTTCTCGAAAAAAATATCATCGAAAAAATTTACGTTTGATCGTCAGGGCAACTACAAAAATCGAGAGGAAACGCATTCCCTGTGGATACTAATTTTCTTTGAATTCGTACTGGAGTTAAAAGAGGCAGAAGTGGGAACAACGGCCGTCTGCTAAAAAGTTTGAAGGCTTTAATTTAGCCTGCTGTTAATTCGTGCGCGATTCAAAGGCAATGCCGGCCATTATTAAAAGCGTAAATTGTCAAACAGATGTCGCCAACGACTTTGGTTACCTACGTCCAGTTCGTTTTAAATCGCAATGAAAATTTTATCAACACCATCACTGAAAGTTCATAATGCTAATACTTTACACGTAGATATGTAGTATCTGAGGATCATGAGATTGCTCTTACAGCGACATGTTTGTAAATAAAATTGCTATATTTTGTTACATTACTTCACATTAAAAAGGAACACCTTAATTAACTAAGAAAATTTTTTTTTTTGCTTAGTAAAAATATATATTTAAAGTATTAAAGTAAATCGACTAGTTGTGTCGAGGAAACAACTTTTTAGCATTTGCTAAATAAAAATGTAAATGTATCACTAATAAATGATTTTACCAAGACTACAAATGATTATAATTTAAGTTCTAAACCAGCTCAGAGTTAGAATATACTTGTTTTAGTGAACTAGAGCTCTAATAAACTGCCGAAACTCATAGCGGTTTGGCTGAAAATGGCATTGTGGTTAGTTATTTTAAAACACCACTTTGCACTAACTAGTAATAGATTAACAGTGACAGAAAGATGTTGAATAGAGTTATTTTTCATATGAAATGTAAAAGGAAAATAGGAATTTCTAAATCGATTTCAAAAGCAGTGCTAATATCTGATAGTCTCAATTTGATTGAAAAATTTACTATTTTAATTTGTATTAACTGTTATATGTTGCTTGCGGCTTTACATGTTTGCGTGAAATCTTTTATTTATGATTGTTGTCTTCAGTAATTTACTTATTTTAAGTCTAGTTTGTTAACTATATGATACTAATACTTTGAATATTTGACATTTTAAATAAAACTATCTTTTCGGATTTTTTCGCGGATTTATTTGTATTTTTAGTATATATAATACCTTTGAGACATCTAACACCTTTAGTCTCTCCCGTGACCATGATTACTGTAAAGCATTCGAAACGTCAGGAATTAAAAAAAACAAATAAATCCACGAAAAAAACGAAAAGCTAGTTTTATTTATATGATACTATTTTAATACATTTTCATTCTCATCCGTTTTTTTTGTGTAAAAATATCTTGAATGTTCAACCTCGTACTGAATATTTATGTCATCAATGTTCAATTCCATAGCGCCACTTTTACATGACTGTTGCAGTCATGCAAACGGGTAAGCATTAGCATATTTTCGGGCAAAAATATAATTTCGGTATGCCTGTTACCAATAAGATTTATAAGAAAAATATTTGTACTTTGACCTCTCTACAATTTCATCTATAAATATTGATTATGTATCAGGCGTTTGTTTAAGCGAGGCAATTACTTAAATATAATGTTGTAGTAGAATTTTGGCAGGTTTCTAATTCAAAAACTTTACATGAATAGAAATGAACCTTTGTGAGTCTTAATTCATCAATTTATTTTGCTTTTATTTTACATTGATTTACTTTTTAATAATTTTATAATTGATTCATTGATGTGTACCATAGCGGGATCATACATAATAACTATAATTCCTATACACAATATTATCATTAAAATTTATTATTAAAGATTGACTTTATATAATAACTTACTAATAAATAGGTACAGAAAAAAATAATTACATCATTTATAAATATTTTAAGTTTCTCAATAGTCATTGAAAGTCCATTTACCAACCACTTTTCCAAAAGCTATTTTCCTCTAAGTGCTTTAATGATTTCGGCAATATTTCTCAAAAAACTTGAAGAATGATTAATTTTTCGTAATATGTCGAGTCACTCTCGTCAGAAATCGAAAAATTCACTAAATAGACTGCTGATACAGAATTAGATAAAAATGTAAATGTATTCACGACCATAGCTATGAATAATAAATAATTCTGTATTACTTTACTTTCCCGACGAATTGATAGTCAATATTATTGAGATAAAACAGATTAAGTATTGGAATAATTTGCATTCCCAATACACTTAATAGAAGGAATGCAATAATACGTAGTAGATTAAACTATCTATTGACCGATGAGAAAAGGGAATATATATAGATTCACACGCATGTCTGTCGGTCTGTCACGACGTAATTTCTCCTATTATACTAGATGGAAAAAGTTTATATTTGGTAGCTACATTTAGGGAGGGTTACTTGACCCGATTGCTTTACTAAACAATTTTTTGTTAACAAAAAACAACATAAGCAATGTACTTTTTTAGAATGCAAGGCGCTGTTTTAGAATACATTATTATTTAAACAATATTATAAATAAGGTATACGGTTATTTATAGTTTGAGATTCTCCTCAACTCAAGTCCATTTTGAATTGACATTGTTCTTTACCCCATTTATAATCCTTCTCTACTTCGTCCAAAAGGAGACTCTGAATTTGTTACAAAGTAATAATTTCCAGGACGTCTGAAATCAACAGAAAGTAAATTGTAAAAATGAGGTTGAATTTGAAATTACATTTATTATAGAAGCATCCACAGGAAATGTGAAAGAATTGGATTTAGGGTTTTGTTGTAGCTTCATTTATAGATAGTTTTATAGATAATTATAAAATGAGGGTAAAATATTATATAAATATTAATTAGAGATAAAAATAAAAATAAGATAGCAATTAAAATGGCAATTAAAATTATAAAACATCCTTCATTTATAATGGTATTTTACATAGTTGTGAACTTACGCTTTCAAATTATATTCACCCATTTTAAGAGTGATAGAATTTCTCTCAGATTCTCGATAATTTTTCCAAATCTTGTAGTTTTTTGCGTAGGAGCCCATTATGGTACCTGGATATTTAATAGCATCTACCCATAAACGCCAACTTCGGTTATGACTACATAAATCTGAAAATATACTTTGTTATTACATTTTATCAAAGCTTCTCTTATCCATTTTAAATAAAACATATGATTAAATCTATCTATACTAATATTACAAATGTGAGTGTGTTTGTTTGTTTGTTTGTTTGTTTGTTTGTTTGTTTGTGCGTTTGTTTGTTTGTTCTTCTTTCACGTCAAAACGGAGTGACGGGTTGGCGTGTTTTTTATGTGGAGATAGTTGGAGGGCTGGAGAGTGACATAGGCTACTTTTTACCGCGGGAGATCATCTATTTCCCACGGGACACGTTATAATATGATCCAAAAAAATATTCTTTCTGCTAGTACTATAATAAAGCAGTAACTTAGCAAAATCTGCACATGAAATATTTTTGCAAAACAATTAGTGTAATGTATTATATACACAATACAGACCCCAAAACAATGGTTATTAAAAATTTAGTCTGTTTGTCAGTTTGTGTGTGCACGTTTCAAAAGTTATGAACCGATTTCAACGAAATTTGGTGAAGTGCTAACTTATTACTCGGGGCATCATTTAGGATACCTTAGAAACCTTCCGTTGCAGTAGTATATGTCTATCTCCTAAGGCACACTCGCAATAACTATATATAGTCTATTCTGTACTTACTACGAACTCGTACAAAGCGAAGGTGAGTCCCTAGTATACAATAAAATATTATATTACACATGTCAGCGTATTTTCTAAATTATTTTAAATACTTTGCTTGAGCATATCTGAAACTTGGAAGCTCCTACAACTCCTTCTCATTAACGAAATGAAGTGAATCATGAATGTAAATAAGAAACACACAATGGCATTTAGATGTTAATGAAGGTGCAAAACGTAGTCTTTAATTATTTACATGCACTATTCATGCTCCCGCCGACATTCTGTATATCTTGTTTTTTTTACATTTTCATTACGCAGTGTCATATCAATTTTGCATACCTTTACAGAATCTAACTGTTCTTTATTTTATTCAGTCTTCATAAATTTAAGTTTTATTAAATGTAAGGGTCACGCTATATATTTTTCTTATGTACACTCTACAGCAAATTATTTTCACATACCTTCCATCGATAATATAGGACTTGCTCGGTCGGGACAGCCTGGTTGTCTCATATGTCCTAAATTTCGATAGTTAGGCCAGAAATCAACAACGCCAACTGATGTTTTCATGCCGTATTTGCTAGGATCTGTGTGAATTATGTCCACGAAAGCAGCAGAATAAGGATTGAGCCTTTGAGCCGCTGGCTTTATCTCGAATCCTAACGCGGCTGGATCCAAACCTGTTATCCTAAAATATTATAATAAAAATATGTTAAAAATATATTCTCACCTGAAAGCCAATACTAATTTTGAGAATCATTTGATGTAATTTTGAGAATTCAGAAAGTTATGAAATTACATTTTTGACATGGATATTGGATACGAATATATGAAATTATGTCATTTTAGGCGGATTAGAAATATTTAAAATACATAAAAGGACATTTAGAAAACCTTATTTTTTAAAACAATGCTGCTGCATAAAGTCGCCTCTGTCAAGTCAACTGAAATCAACTTTATACCTACCTACCTACTTACAAGTTCAAGGTTTAAATACATATTATATAGGTTATACATAACATAAGCTATTTCATAATCATGACAAGTTATTAAAATCAATTATAAATACCAAGGAAGTAGCACTCCTTTTTGTTGCAAGTTATTTCCAGTAATACCCCAAATGTGCGCACCAAGGGAATGGCCAATCAAATGAGTCTTATTTAAATCTAATCCAGCATCCGAAAGGTTAAGGAATGTATCCACGAGTCGGACAGCAAGCTAAAAAATAGAAACGAAAATAATATAAATTATGTATTTTATTTGATGGTTTCAAAACACTCTTCCGTTAAATTTCTTCATTTACAATGTTACATCAGTTTTCAAGCTCAAACTATTGTGACTCTTTTTTATTATGATATATCTGCATACATTTTCTCCAATTATGCTGAAAAAATTTATAAACAAGTCTTTTATGCCAAGCATATTCCAAACTAGCGACTCTACATCGCTTCGCTCGGGGTCATTCCTAGGTACGCTTTAAGGAATAGATATTTTTAATACAATAGATAGTCGATCCCTAGGCTCTGTGAAAAAAAGCAAATCTATCCCTCGGGAACCGTACATTTTTTCCGGGATAAATGGAACCTATGTGCTTTTCCAGATTATAATCTATCTCTGTGCTAAATTTCATCCAGATCCATTCAGCCGTTCTGGCTCGATTGAGTAACAAACATCCATCCATCCGAACTTTCGCATTTATAATATTATGGGATTATTCTAAAACTAAACCTATAGTTTTAGCTATAGCCATGGACATATAAAAGTCTATAGAACAGAACTCGCAACATCAGCCATTCGGTCGTAAACTAATTGGCAACGTCCAAACGTTTTGTGTTCTTTAATTAAGCTTCGGTTAACACGATTGTTACAGGCTTCATTATGATTTTTCTGCGATATTTTGAATAGGAAAAAATATGCCACCCTATTTGATGTAACATTTTGAATAATAATTGCAGAGGAAGGACTGGTTTTATTAAAGGTACATTTTCAGAACTACTGTAAATTGACTTATTTCAATTTAACAACGATACTCTATAAAATATGTAAACTCGTGACAAAAAAATGAGAATTCTTTTCCTTTTTTGGAAATCGGATCAAAAAATATAGAAAAACATGCTATATTCTTACCTATACAGCTCAAAGAGATATCATTCTTACAAGTTCTATATCTAATTTATGAATGTATGTCGGTACTATACCTACATATCAAAATAATAAAAAGAAAAACCACATCTCACAAAAAACACAATAGTTCTTTTTTAGAGTTTCATATCACTTGCCTATTTATTACGAAACGTGTATTCAATTAGCTAAAATAAGAAAGTACATTTACAAAAGCTCCAGACCACTGTAAAAAACCTTTTCACTCACTTTTTTATAATAACCTATTATTATAATATTAATAGTCATTAATTCTGACAAACAAAAGAAAATACATCTGACACGTAAAATTACATGTTGTTAACGAAATAATATATATGTAATACTAGCATTGCCCGCGGCTCCACCCGCGTTTAGATGATTAAAGACCAAATTCTTAGGTTTTAACCGACTTCCAAAAAAGAGGAGGTTAACAATTCATCGGAATCTTTTTTTTTCTTTTTTTATGTATTTTCACCGATTTTTTTTTGTTTCAAAGGGTATACTTCCCAGGTGGTCCCATATAAATTTTATCGAAATCAGTCGAGTGGTTTAAATAAAAATCAACAATAAATATATTTTTTAAACAAATTGTTTAATCGAATATGTTATTAAGAAACTTTCTTCTTACAAATTACCTTCTTATTACGTCTACACTAAAAATGGAAAAAAAACTTAAAAATAAAAACGATTTCCTGGCACTAAAATGAAAAAAATAACTAAACGGGGGTTTTCTTTTAGAATAGGTTTAATATTTTAAGATATGAATATGTAATAGCTAAATATGTATTTTACGTATCGAAATATATTAGATTTGCTTTGCATCGGCTAGTTTTATCCACTTAGAGGCTGAACTAAAAAAAAACTAAAATACATGTTTATTTAATTGTATTAAAGAGCATTAATACCAAGCTTGAAGTAATTGAGATCATAAATAATTGTTTGCCCACATAAACTTTATCACCCCCTTTTATAGGATGAATTTCAAAAAATCCTTTTTTAGCGGATGCCTACATTGTATAAGGAATATGTCCTCCAAACGTTTCTACGACCAGCGGTTTAGGCTGTGCGTTGATGAATCAGTCAGTCAGGACAAATTTTTTTATGTATATATAGATAATAATAAAATTAGAAATAAAAGCATAAATTATTACAAAAACAAGTCTACCTTTTTAATCTGAAAATTAATATTTTTTACAATTTTTAACAACATTAATAAAAGCAAAGTATACGGCAAATAGTAATTTGGTCATCGCAAAAGTGTCTCGAGGTTGGCATGGCAACGGTTTATCCAAGACATACCTACTATCTCTATAGTTAGAGATAGTGTGTTACAAAATTTGATCCGAGAAATCGTCCTTGGATTTCAATCAGTTACAAAGAGAAGCAAAGCCCTAGAAGTGATTGATATATTAAATTACATTAAGTGATATATCTGTAATGTTCATTAAGTAAAATGATTTTTTTGCCACTGTATGCACTTATTTTATGTTATAATATGATATATGAATATATATTTCAGAAATCATACTCATTTTTACTAGTGACTTGTCGTCGCTTCGCCGGGGTGCGTCCGAAGGTATCCTTTTGCCATAAATTTTATTGCTTTAAAACCGCTTAGACGACGCACGATGATAAAGCGACTGTACGGATACCATTTTTCGGAAGTAAAAAAATAACCTATAACACTCGACCTTAGTGTAGCTCCTAAATAATCAAAGAATTTATAGAATCGGATCAACCCAATATCCCATGCACTTAACTTACAAACTTGACCTCTTTATTATATTAGTATAATTATTATGTATGTAACATTTCAAATACTAACGATAAATATACATATTAAGCAACTAGAATTTATCTAATCGAATAATATTTAGCAACTTTATTTTATATTTATAAATTACTTTAGACTTATAAAATTAAAATAACTTAAATCGCCGCAAGAAATAGAACATTGTTTTATAAGGTTTATCTGCCTATATTATTATACAATTTTTTTCTCATTTACGCGTTTTACATTGAAAACTACTATACTATTGACGTTAATCGTTCAATAATTGTAAGTAATGTATAATAAAAAATGGAAATTTTCCTGCAAGAAAGCAGATAATAATATTATAAAAAAATTATTTATATACGAAAACTACTGAATCATTTATGCCAATAGTGAGGTTTCTTTAAATTCTTAGAATGAAAAGAAACACTGGATAGTAATAGATAGTTTATGTTAATTCTATTATTATGCGTAAGCTGCTCAAGAAATTTTACTATAAAAAACTACTAAAGATATCAAAGGCTTCCTACGGAGAACAACTGACGTGGAAACCGTATGAATTTTCATAAAACTAATGCTTATAACTTTATCTATGTTCGTTGTATTTAGAATTCTTTTAATACTAGGAAAGGAAAGGATTCCAGGATGAAAGCTGCTATGAACATTTTATTAAGTTTGTCTATACGGTTAATAATGAATGGATATAGATAAATTAGGGATTTTTTTTATAACATGCCCTATCTAAGGAAAGGCTGAAGCACCCAGGGTCCTGCGAGATAGATCATTTTTTATTACCATTCATTTAAAATAAAAAAAATGAAAGACGTGACACCGAGATCAATTTTTCAATTTTTTTTCCGTTCGTTTGTTTATTCGAGCGTCACATAGCCTCATGTTGCTGATAGTTAAAAATCAAAATCTTTAGAACTGTTGTTTTATTAATATTTATGATATTTTATATAAAAAAATATAATAATTTCCGAAAATTTTAAAATAGAAAAGTGCCTACCCAAGCGAATCTGAGTTGAGCCGTCAGTATAATGTAGTACGAGTAGATATATACTTTAAAGCAAATTAATTATATTTATTAATTCTAAAACGAAAACACAAGAACAACGATAGCAGTTGTCATTAACTCGCTATTCTTGTTTATATTGTTTACCTGTCTGGCATTTGGGGCTGCCCAATTTACATATGAATTGGCGAGACTCGACATCAGCGCTGAAGCTAAATAATCCCAATTGAGTAGCGCTACATTACTTTCTCCTTGTTTTATGTATGCTTTTATAATCTCCTTCACTGCTGGTCCATTTGGAACACCTACAAAAACAAATTATTGTTACTTTAGATTTTATTAAAATAAAATGGTCTTATATTGACAAATATTTTGGCACATTGTTCTACATGTTATTGATTTTATGTATTACTATCGGCTCACCTTCGCTTCGCTCGGGTTAGCCTCTAGGAGAACAAAAACAAACCTATCCCACGGGAACCATACATTTTGTCCGGGATAAAAAGTAACCTATGTATTATTCGAGACTATAATCTATCTCTGTGCTAAATTTCATCCATAACCGTTCAGCCGTTTTGGCGTGAAAGAATAACAAGCATCCAAACTCACAAACTTTCGCATTTATATCATTAGTATATTAGTATAGGTGTTATCTATGTAATTACTGCCTCAATGGTGTAGTGGCTAGCATATACGGCTGCACACCCGGAAAGTCCTGGGTTCGAGTCCCGGGTCGGGCCAAGTATAGTTATTGAGTCTTTCTGTATAGTAAGCCTCAGTAACATCCCGGAGTTCACCCCCGTGCCTCGGAGAGCACGTAAAACCGTCGGTCCTGCGCCTTAACTCTCACTGGTCGTGTCGAGTGGTCGTCCCACCGGAGTATAGAGTGACAGGAATAGAGAGTGCACTTGTGTCTGCGCGTACACTTGTGCACTAAATATCTCCTGCGCAGTTGGCTAGTCTCAATGAGATTGGCCGCCTTGGCCGGAATCGATCAGGAGAACATCATCATCATCTATGTCATTATTAAACTGTAACGAGTGCTGAGATCTATCTCCATATAAGTGAGTAGAAAAAAGGTTATTGTACTAATGTATATAGAGTGAATTAATTATACGAGTACATACCAGTAAATCCGTGGCAAAATATTACAGTACTGTGATTAGGATTGTACCAAGAAGTAGACAATATTTTATGAGCTTCCGTTATTGGCAATTCGGTGTGATTTTCAAATGAACTTGAAAAATAGATAAAAAATTTATGTTAAATTTAATAATGCTATTAATATTATGTAAATACATTTAAAGAGAGTGGGTTTTACCATAGAACTGAGTTCATTGTACATACCTATAATAAAATCTTAACTTGGCTTCTTGGTCGTTAGCCGCGGTGAGCGCTGTAAAAAGTACTTATACGTAATTAACAGTGACAATATTAAGACTAGTTATCCGCCCTTTCTTCGTCATGCCGAGGAAAGAGAACCAAGTCACTCTCCAACCTGTAGGTAAGCTACATTTGGTAAAATATGAGTGAAACTACGTGAAAAGGCAAACAAACAAACACTTTCTCATTTATAATGCAGTAAAAAAATGTAAAGCTAGCATATAAATGTACATTTTATATCTACTAAGGGTTATGTACCAGCGTACGTACGTACGTTATTACGTACGTATAAACATAAAAACTTTTTAACAAAAAAATAAAAACCGACTTCAAACAAAAGCACTAAAAAGTAAAAAATAACTGATTGGTAGTTTTCATTTACTATACATACCTAATCAAATATTTTCGAAGTCGGTGTGCTCTGCTTTGTATGGGCTGGCACCGATTTCGAAAATATTTGATTAGGTATGAACTTATTTAATAGGTAGGCTTTAATTACTTAGCCAAAGCACACCGACTTCGAAAATATTTGATTAGGTATGTATAGTAAATGAAAACTACCAATCAGTTATTTTTTACTTTTTAGTGCTTTTGTTTGAAGTCGGTTTTTATTTTTTTGTTAAAAAGTTTTTATTTTTCCCTTTTTAGTGTAGACAGTAGTAGCAAAGTAAGGATTCTAACGTGTTAGGCTTGTCAAATCAAACAAAATAAGCCCAAACTCAAAGTATCTACTATTAGCCGTTGAAGAGTTCCACCTATCCACCTTGTGGCCTTGCCATCAGATCAGGTCAACAACACCGAACCACTGTACTATCAACGGAAATAGAAATACTTGCAAAGTTTCAAGTCAATATGACAATTAGAAGTAGGTTAAATTCATCATTAGTTGTTTTTCCACCCTTAGGGGTGGTATTTTTTTTTTAAATTTAAATGGGACCAATCTGGAAGTATACCCTTTCAAACAAAACAAAAATTGTCCAAATCGGTTAATAAATGACGGAGTTCTGAGGTAACAAACATAAAAAAAAAAAAAAAAACATACAGTCGAATTGAGAACCTCCTCCTTTTTGAAGTCGGTTGAAAAGGAGTAAACTTAAAATTGTATGAGTTTATTAACATATCTAATATCTATATAAATAACATTTATTACTCTTTAAAATTATGTACATACAGCAAACGGTAGATTACAGTATATAGCATACAACATTAAACATGGAATGGTAAATATATTTTTTCAGTTTGAACAGCTTGTAAACAAAAATTTAACTATGTCGATTTCGAATGCAATTTTGTGTTTGTTAATTTTATCTACCAACACGAGCTCGGATGGATGAAAGATAACCTAGTTATCTAAAATACAGTATGAAAAAAATCATCGACAACGTGAATTCAGTGCTTGCACAGTTAATTACGTAATTAAATATTTTATATAACTGTTTGTCTAATATAACGAATTGTAAACTTTGTTAAATTTTTACACGTAATTAAAGACAGAATATGCGAAAAAACCAGATATTAATTACATAATGCTTTTTAAATCAATTGCTTCAAAAATATATTTTTAATAACGTACCGTAGCAAAAAAAATTATATAAACCGTTCTGTAGAAAGTTGAGTTGAACTTTTTTTAAATTTTATATCAGGTTCAAGAAATGTACTTATAATATACGAAAGTATGATCAAGTTTAATTGACCAATATTTTTAAAATTAAACATTTATATAAAAATGTATAAAAAATTTATTTTAAATTTAGTTTATAAAAGCAGCAATTTTATATAAATTCGACTCAATTACAATTTTATTATATGTACAGATAAATATTTCGAATAAACAAACAAATATACAAATATACATATATGTACATCGGCGAAAATATTGTCATATTCCCCAAAACAACAGCAATAGTTTAAATTAGCAGGTCTACAAAATTATATATTTAGTGTAATTTTTGTGGTAGATACTTTTCTTTTATTTATACTGAATAGGTAAAAATGTCATATAGATAAAAATAATAACTTACCAACAACGAGAAAAAAATAAAACGCACTTGCGTACATTGTGTGTATATTGCTACTAATCATCCTTTGCTTAATTTCTTTTACTTATATAGGGGCTGGTATCTGAATGTCCTCATATAAAACTTTTCCTTGACATTACGTTGTAGTCGAAGAGCTGCTACCAGCAAGTACCATAGATGATTTTTTTCTTCTGGACAAGCTCTACTTATGTCATTTGTGAGAGTCTGATATGAGATCTTATTTGTTATTTATAAAACAGAAATATCCAGCCAGTAGCTATTTACAGCAAAAATCCACTTTCGAAGATCCAAACTTTCGCATTTGGTAACTATGTATATTGAGTGTCTATACGCCTATTTATTTAAGATAAAAAACATAATAAACTGATTTTATGTGCAGTCTATTGTAGACGCTTGCTCCTAGACTTGATCTAATCAAACAATAATTACTCAGGAATTTTTTGTGTTCCAACGTGGTTGTCTCGTTCAAAATCTGTCACACGTGTCAAAACAAATTTATCAAAATATAATAATTTTATATATGTAGGTACATATCTACAACATTATATAAATATAATTATAGACTGCCATATTAATAAATAATATTACTTTTTTTATAAAACTAATGAATGCAGATATTTTACGATTACTCCTTTGACTGTTAAGTACTCCTCCTCCTGACTCCTTAACCTGCTTTTCGACTGCTTTCCGCACCGTGTATCAAGCAAACGCGTATTTGGCGTCGATGCCTAGCGCCAATACTTAAAATAATAAACTTTTTTGTCATTTTATATCAATTTTAGTCTATAGCCTGCTTTGATGAAGCATAATTTTACATAATATGAAAGTGGTACATGCAAATGTTATTCTAATCAGAGATTTTAGTATTTAACAGATATTTGTTTTGTAGAAATCACTAGCAACCTAAGATATCCTTACTTACATACAATGCATATTACTCGTATAATATAAATGATATATGAATATCTACCTTTTATGTTCTTGAACATGAGCAGTGGGGCATGATCTACAAAATCGTGAGTGATGCACAAATCGATATGTTGGATTAAAATGGATCTTATTTATTCTTATTTGCTTTTAATCCCTAAATCATCAACTAGGTATACTATGTATACCTACACTCGCCTCGTTGTTTTAATCAAAATTCTTAGTAACAATCTGAGTCGAAAACTTGGTGGTGTTTCACCTCAATTCCTCGGAGACGGTGAGTACGTAAAGTCATAGGTCCTGCGACAGATCTCTCACTCTAAGTTTCAGTTTTGGGACGGTACAAATTTAGTACTTACTCGTAACTGAATCTTTCTGTTAATAAAGTCTCAGTAACATCCCGCAGTTAGGAAGCTGGTGGTGTTTACACCTCCGTGCCTCGGAGAGCAAGTGAAGCCGTCGATACTGTGCCTTATCTCTCACCAGTCGTATCGAATTACGGTCCCATCGAAATTTGAAAGTGACCGAAATAGATAGGGTACTTGTAGCTGTGCGTACACTTGTGCATATTTCCTGCGCAGTTGCAGTGAGATTGGCCTCCAAGTGGCATACGGAAAAAAAATGTTACTGATCACAATTACATTAAACTCGTTATTAATGTTCTTCAATACATTTCAATAAATTAAATAAAAACATGTTTTAGGATTTTTAAAAATTCAGCCCATAAGGGGGAAAAAAGGGGGAGATAAAATTGGTTTGGTAATTCTTCATTTTTATTGTTAATTGAATGGCAGAATTGAAGCAGTATAAAACAACATCAGAGGCAGTGATTAAGTGATGGGTTAAGTGGAGTTACTTTGTTGCTGGCTGGGGACTTCCGACAGTCTCTTCCTTTTGAACCTTGGAGACCTAGACCAAACGAGGTTAAAACATGCTTAAAATCCTCATACATATAGCACAACATAAACCGCCTTAAATCCAAAAAAGTGCGAGTCCTTTTAAGAGGAGATACTTCTTTAAAGTAAGTAGTAACTAGTAGCTGAAGAAGTCTCCAGAGTTTTTTCAGCTATTATTTCAAATAGAGAACGGAGATTATACCGACTTCAAAGTAATATTATGTACGTGTATAACTGCTCGGCTGGCCACAGCAGTAATAACTAGAACGGACCTAATAGCTAGAGTGTATACTGATGTTTTTAATATATAAACAAAGTTGTGGGTTGGCTTTGTGAACTTACTATACTGACTCCCAAACACAACAGTGCTGTTGATTTTATTAACACGCTGCTTAGGTCCTTCGAAGGGTCAGAAATGGAATATAAATATTCAGTGATACAAATCGGTGGAGACGTAAACTATTCTGTGAGGTTCCTTAGGAGCAGGCAATGCTTCTCACATTTTCATTTTAGCACCAGACAGAACAGCTACAATGTGGTATATAAAGAAGTGCGTAATTTAATTCTAACTTCTTTTCGCAAAATACTTTCTTAGATTTACGCGAATATTTGACATTTTAAATAAAACTATCTTTTCGGATTTTTTCGCGGATTTATTTGGATTTTTGGTAGAGACTTGGTAGAGAGGCTGTTGGCGTAGACTAAGTGAATTACATAAATATGTAACTAGTCTAAATTCACTTAACTTAGTCTTATATAATATTATTATATATTTATTTTATATAATATTACAAACTCTATATGACAACGTACAAATTAAAAACTAAGGACTTTTTTACTCCACGCGAGCGTAGCCGCGGGCAGAAAGCTAGTAAATTACATTTCATTTAACTTGGCAATAAATACATTGTATATGTAAATAGAAATTATTCTGCCTGAAACTATTGGATATTGTTAAATCAATTTTGATGCTGAAACTAGGTCATTTCACTCGATTAGTACCTATGAGCTGTTAATGTGGCGAAATCGCTAAATGCAGTTATCTCCCCAATTGAAGGTTTTGCGAATATTGTATAACCAACACTTAAATCGT